AATGGTAGAGTGCTGAAAAACAAATATTCAAGACTCCAACTAAGACTAAGACTAAGGGGGCTGGGGATTTAGCTCAGTGGCACAGCACCTGCCTGGCAAACGCAAGGTCATGGGTTCGATTCCCGGTAATGGGGAAAAAAAAAAAGACTAAAGACAAGTCAAAACTATAGCTTATCCACTAAGGTTAATGATGTCACCTCCGTACCCTTGCTACCATTGGATCAATATCACCGAAGTCACTATCCTGGCAATCTTATTGGTTGATCATAATATTGACCCACATTGTGCCCGCCTCACGATTTTGCTCCATAAACCTTCCTTGGAGCGGTGGGCTCTTGGCACCCACTTGGGACCCCCTCCTGTCTCTCCGGCACTGTTCCTATTCCCCATTGCTTTTCCCAGCAGGTTTTCCCGCTCTTGGCCCCTGCTGTTCCTTACAGGTCATTCTTCGACTTCGGGGGACATGACCTGGGCGCGCGGAACAGCTCTCAGAGAGGTCGTGTTTCAGAAGCAGAAGGCCCTCAGGAACCCGCCGAGCGGGCTGGGCTGAGCCGGGCCCTGGGCTGTGAGGGAAAGGAGGCTCCCCCAGGCTCTGCCGCAGCTCTGCCCCTTGTTGGCTGCACCTCAGGAGAGCGCCCGACAGGGACCCTGCTGCCCCTGACAAATTCCTGACCCACAGAAACCGCAAGGGATGAGTCTTTTTTTATTTCTTTTTTTTCATTTGGTTCAAAAAGACTAGGCTGGGCGTGGTAGAGCACACCTGTAATCCCAGCACTTGAGAGGCTGAGGCAGGACCGCCATGAGTTCGAGGTCAGCCTGGGCTACATAACAAGACCCTGTCTCAGAACAGAAACAAAACAAAACAAAACAACTCAGCCCATTCCACTTGGCACAAAGGCAGGAAAGACCCAGACGGAAGGGAAGGCAGGACCGTGCCGGAGACCCCTCACTTCCGCTGGGAGCCCCTCGGCACTGGCCACTGGCCAGAAGAGCCCGGCTGCTGAGTGCCATTTTCCCCAGTTATGAAGTAGAAGTCAGCCGAGTTGGGACCTAAGAACACCTGGCCTTTTGGCGAGGGCAGTGGATCATCCTCAGAACTGCACGGGATCGAGAGGGTCGTCCTGCTCCGCCTGGGTACGGCCTGCCGCTGGGGGCCAGGTGGCGGCGAGGCTCTTCCTGGGACCACGAGCCAAATGCAGACAAAGCACAAGCGGGGCGGGGCCCCACAGCCCCAAGAGCCTGGCTGCAGATGAGGACGGATGGGAAGGACTGCGAAGCCGCTGGGGACTGGTAAGATCTTATTTTATCTTCCTTTATTTGATTTTATATTTGCAGAGCTGAGGATGGAACCCAGGGTCTCTTGAATGCCAAGCTAGTGCTCCAGCACTGACTGAGCCACATCCCAGCCCTTCTCTCTCTCTCTTTCTCCCTCCCTCCCCACCCCCAGCCCTTATTTTGAGACAAGGTCTCACTAAACTGCCCACACTGGCCTCAACCCTGTGAGCACTGCTTCTGCCTCAGCCTCCTGAGGAGCTGGGGTTACTACCCTTCCATGGGCCTCAGCAAGGCTTTTTTTTTTTTTTTTTTTGGTGGGGGACAGGGTCTCGCTATGCAGTTCAGGCTGGCCTTGAACTCATTTTGTAACCCAGGCTGGCCTCGAACTCGCAACGATCCTCCTGCCTCAGCCTCCTGAGTGCTGGGATTACAGGTGTGTGCCACCATGCGCAGCAAGGTTAGCAGTTTGAAATGGAGGTCTTATTTTTGGTACCGGGAATCGAACTCAGGACGTTGTGCTTGCCAGGCAGGCACTTACTCCACTGAGCTATATCCCTAGCCCAAGGTTAGCAGTCTGAGAAAACCTTTTTGGGACCGTGTCACAAGCCTGGAACCTGAAGCAGGAACAGGAGCGAGTTAGATGAGAGTGAGCAGCAATTCAGGGCCGGGGAACCGAGAAACAACCCTGGTACAAGGCCGAACTCAGGCTGTTTGGGGACACAGGACCAGGGTGGTGGGACTGTGAGGCACTAGGGGTTTCTGGGGTGAAGTGAGGCCAAAGGGACCCAGCCGAGACAGGATGCTGTGTGAACAATGTAGACCTTTGAGTTTTATTCTAAGTGCAGTGGGTTGCTAACCAGGGAGTAACTGGATTGAAATTTATTTATTTTTTTGTCTTTTTTGAGACAGGGTCTCACTATGCAGTTCAGGCTGGCCTTGAGCTCACTTTGTAGCCCAGGCTGGCCTCAAACTCACAGTGATCCTCCTGCCTCAGCCTCCAGAGTGCTGGGATTACAGGCATGCACCACCACGCGTGGATTTGAAGTTTAATTTTTAAAAAGTCAGCCTGCTCTGTGAAAAATAAATCTGAAGGGACAAAGTAAAGATGGGGGGGTTCACTAGGGTGCTATTGCCTAACTCAGAAAAGAGATACAGTGGCTTGGATTCCCCGACAACAGTGGGGAGGAAATGCTGAATGGAGCCAAGGGGCATTTTGGTGGAGAGCAGAGGAGAGAACAAGAGGAGAGCGTCTCTGAAAATACCTGCCTGAGCGACTTCACAGAACAGGTGGAAAAGAGGGGAAAGACCAAGAAAAGGATGGATGAGGAGTTCAGAATTACACATAAACTTCCAGCTGTGGTGGTGCATGCCTATAATCCCAGCACTCCGGAGGCAGAGGCAGGAGGATCCACTCAAGTTCGTGGCCAGCCTGGGCTACAAAGTGAGACTCAAAAAACAAGGGCTCAAAAAACAGAACAAGACAAAGCAAAACAACACATAAGCTTCAGAATCATTGGAAAATATAGTGTACCAAAAACAAAGGAAGCCAGGCGTGGTGGCGCACACCTGTGATCCCAGCATTCGGGAGGCTGAGGCAGGAGGATTGCTGGGAGTTCGAGGCCATCCTGGGCTACACAGTGAGTTCAACCCCAGCCTGAACTATAGTCATACCTTGTTTCAAAAAATAAAACAAAAACAAAGGACTAGGCGTGGGGACAGTCACTGTGGGTGCTGGAGCGCTTGCCTCCCATGCCCAAACCCCAGGATTTGATCCGCAGCACAGAAGGAAAAAAAAGAAAGGGGTAGGAAAGACCGCTCAGGAAATGTGTGTGGGAAAATCAAAGAAGACGGAAAAAAAAAGACCGGGCCGGAGGAGCGCCGTGGGCTCAGCCCTGCGCCAGCGGAGGGCGGGGACCTCGCGGGCCAGTGCACGGTGGGGCCTCGGCTGGCCACTGCACGGCCACGCGAGCCCTGGGAGGAGCAGGTGGCTCAGAGGCACAACCCACTTCACAGGCGCGAGAACCTGGGCCCCACACTCAGCCCCGGGAGGAAGAATTGAAGGGCGGAGAGAGGGGCACCCGGCCGCACACGGGGCTCCCCCATGGATTCGTGATCGACAGGGGCAGGGTCTCAGGCTGGCCTTCCTCCCGCCGAGGCCCGCGAAGGCCTTCTAGAAAACAGGACACGCCCTGCGCACCCTGGACGGCCGGGGCGCTGGAGCTGATCACCACGGGCAACCCCTGAGCCCTCAGAGCCGCCACGGGTGGTTGCTCAGGTTGGACACCAACTTCATGACCTGCGGAGGAGGCGAGGGACAAAGCTGGGTGCTGATCGCGGACAGCCGAGTCCCCAGGGAGCTCAGTCCTGGAGCACGGTCCTTCCCACTTCCGGCCCCCAGGCTCCCTGCTTATCCTTATCCGAAATCCCACCCCACTGCGGACATCGGCACTGCCCCTTGTTATGAGGGGTTAGGGCAAGAGGCTTCTGCAATAAAAAACTGACTGAGGGGCAGCTCAGGCGGGAGAATACAGAAAACGAGTGAGTGAAGGAGAGGAAACGATACCGGGCAAATGAGGGGAATCAGAGCAAAGTCTGGGGGTGGAGAGATCACACCAGCCCAGGCCCTGGACCCACACACCTGGCTGGAGAGAGGACAGACTTCTGAGGGGCAGTCCCTCTCCTGGTAAGCCCTGCCTGCTGGGTGTTTAGGCAAAGCAAATCCGTGGCCAGTCCTGGAGCACCTTCCTTCCGGCATCCACAAGGCTTCTGTCTGCGTGAGTGCTGCACCAGTCTGGGCCGAAGGGATAGTGTTCGATGGAGAGCAATCGCAGACCTTCCTGGGACGTAGACTTTGGCGAGCTGGTGCAACAGAACGAAGACAAAGAGTGCTGTAGTCACGGTTTGCAAGGGAAACAATTTAATACAGGACACATAATTTATACAATTATTTTATAGTAGTCACCCGAAGAGTCAAGTGCAAAAGAGTGCAGGAAATCTGTCCATGCACTAAGGACCAAAGAATCCAGCTGAGGGCCTGGATCCCCCAGCAATGTCCTGCAGAGGCCAGATGAAGCCCTAGGGCCCACGGCAGTGTCCTCCCATGAGTCCAGCTGGAGGCCAAGAGCCCACAGCAATGTCTCATGCAAGCCTGTTTCACAGATCTAGGAAGACCCAAAGCTCAGTGGTGGAAGCTAGAAAGTGCATCAGTAGGGTGAAGGGTCTGTGCCGGCAGGCGGAGGGATCTGCACTGGGGCCTGGAAGTAACGCTCAAAATAAGGCCCAGAGCTCCCCGGAAGAGAGCCCCAGCCATCCTCAGCGACAGCGACGACCTGAGCTCCTCCAAGTGATAGGACAGCAGAGTTCCCATCAGGAGAGTCAGTGTGACAAGCTTCTCCGGGAGAAATCAACAGGGCCATCTTCCCCTCCAGTTCGTTTTATGCTGCTGGCAACAGTCCTCAGGTGGGCCTTTCGCACGCAGCACCACGCTGACTCAGTTCAGCTGGGAGTTACAAGTTGACCACCAGTTGTCGATTCACCACAAAGAAAAATTAACACACACTCATACACAGCACACGTACACGCACACACATACATTTCCCTAAAAAGAAGTATGGGGCCGGGGATACAGCTCAGCGGCACAAGCGCCTGGCCTGGCAAGCGCAAGGTCCTGAGTTCAATCCTCGGTACCCAAAAACAAATAAATAAATAAAATAAAAAGAAGTATGGTATGTGGTGGTTATGCGCCTGTAATCCCAGCACCCTAGGAAGCTGAGGCAGGAAGATTGCAAGTTTAAGTCCAAGGTGGGTAATTTATTGATTTACTGAGACCCTACCTCAAAATAAAAACTACAGGGGGCTGGGGATTTAGCGAAGCGGCACAGTGCCTGCCTGGCAAGTGCGAGGTTCGTGAGTTCAATTCCCGGTACCAAAAAAAAAGACTAAAAAAATAAAAATTACAGGGGCTGGGGATGTAGCTGCATAAGCACCTACCTAGTAATTGCTAATTGATAACAATAACCCACAACCTGCGGACCAACTTCCTACTTAGTAGTTGCAAGGTCTTGAGTTCGATTCCCGGTACCAAAAAAAAAAAAAAAA